TTGCGTATTGCCCTACTACGGAGATGGCGGCCGACTTCCTCACCAAGCGACTGCCACGTCAGCAGTACCAGCACTGCTCCAACCTCACCAGAGTAGTCAAGTGAGTCAGCCCTCGGCACGCCTAGGAATGGAGGAGGGTGTTGAGATATGAAACTTTATGAGAAGGCATTCCTGTACGCTGCAGGAGCTGAATCTACCGAGTACAAAGTCGAGGAGTCAGGAGCGTCGAAGCGACACCAGCAACCGTCAGATCAAGACCGATGCAGGCAGAAACATTTGAAGTGAAAAGAGCGGGAACAGGTTCAAAACGGGTTCCCGCGCCGCACGATTTGAATTTCGCTGCAACAGGGGAATGTATTCCTTAGAGTACATGGCTATTCCGATATAAACCCGATGTATGCATGCCTTCCGCTGCAACACTACCTGCGAACAACCCTGAGTCGATTCCTGGCTAAGTTTTTTTCAGGATTGTAACAACCCTTGTTTTAGCAGAACTAGCGTCGCTAAATCAGGATTATTACGCAGTTCAGTGGAATTCTACCGTATCATAACCCTGGATTAGCATTTAGAGATTCGACCCTCGAGCTTAACTCTGCGGTTTGCTAGTATGTACAGGATGGTCCATCCAGTTCTGTCAATTACCGTATCGCCCCGGATAGTAGCGCCGCCTGATTAAAGGCGCCGGTGCTTCTATCTGGAGCCATGCGCTTATGGCCGGTCCTCAATTATACGTGCACCCCTTAGAATCCCTGTACTTATTATAAGCGCATCCCTCCCCCCCAGGGGGTAATGTTTTCACTATGTATTAGAACCTACAGTAACATGAAATTAACACATTTTTATCTGCCAATAGTCTCACTACACATTAAGAAGTTTTACATTCCTAGCTAGAATCTACTCGTCGTCTGACTCTGGCTCCTCGCAGTTGTTGCCAAAGAATCTGTTGGCGATGATCTCATCATCGACATCAATCTCGTGGGTCAGCTGGCTCCGCCTGTGCGCCATGGCAAGACTGTCAAGCGCGTTGCTGATGCCACAGGTGAGAAAGGCCTTCTTGATCAGCTCAGGTGACACAGCCGTCCAAGCCCATGAGATCCACCTGAGCACCACCGCAGGGGGCGGCTTCTTTATGTTCCCTGCACCATAAGTCAGAGTTGGGGAGATGGTGTTAGAACAACATACGGGGGGAAATCAAGCAGCGGGGAAACAATCAATGGTGGGGTTCTTACCTACAGGTGCCAGCTGCTCCTGGCCCTCCTCTTCAAATGCTGGCGGATGGAGGCTTCAAAAGACATGTTGATCGGGATCACCGCCAGAAAGATGTCGAGATCGACGAACTTCTGCTTCACTTCGTCCGTCAGATGACCGCGGTAAGGATCCAGGACGACCATGACACTCTTCGCTTGCCTGCCGAAACGGGGCCGGATGAATGGCTTGATGCACTCGTCGAGCCAGCGCAAGACGCCGTCGGCGTCCATCCAGCCGTTCGGGTGCACCGCCACAACCACATCTGCCCAACCAAACGCAGTAAGAAAATCTGTGTTAGTTGCTATGCGGGATAAACCGAACACTCAACAAGAGGGGCTATACTCTTACTTAGCGGGAAATCACCCTTAGGCACCGTCCTGCGCTAAAAGAAGTCCCACGGCTTGAGCTCCTGCCCGTCGGCCGTGCACGCTAACATGACGGTCGCGCGTTCCTTTTGGTACCCCCGCTCCTGATGGGCACCGAGTGCACGCCCGTCTGGTCCGCCGTCGTGGAGGCCGGCATCTCCAGCCAAAGCGGCGTTTGGTCGGCGTTGATAATCCAGCGTGTTTCGACGCCACGCTCACGCCCATGTCACGCACGAACTACCAGAACTTCTGGCATTGCTTCGCCACATCTGTGCACACACGGACAGTGGGAATAGGCATGGATTAGTAAACATCGTTAACCGTGTAACAGCACAACAACCACAAGGCAAAATAAGCAAACATACTCACGGCAGCGGTTTTCTGGGCAATCTTCGTCTTGATGCGGACGCTCAGATTCCACCGTTCTCGAAACCGCTCTGACCGTCGCTGGCTCCCCTCCACTTCACGTCGGAGAATAGAATCTTCATGTACTCCCTTGACCACTCCTGCAGGCAACCGACGGAGACGGCAGTTCCTTTTCGGCGCCAGTTGAGTAGCCTTGCGTAGACCTTCACCTCCATCGGCCTGTACCACAATGACCTCTTGCGCCCGTGCATCTGCTTCTGTGCTGAGTGCGCTTCCTTGAGCATGGCGGTGGCTCTCTTCCAATCAGCGAGGCATGTGCAGTGGATTCCCGACTCGCGAGACAATGCTCGCAGCGACACCGAAGCATCCATGCGCCCAATATACTTCAGCTTCTCCTGCGCGGTATAAGTGTTACGCTTATGCTGCGACGGCTTGTTCTTGGGCATCACGGTTCTTAGAAGAGGGGTATGGACGCTTGCGGTTAACCGGCGGAAACGTTGAAATAGGTAGTTTCTCGGAAAGTCCATCGCGCGACCAATACTCCACACAGTCATCGTCGTCGTCGCCCGGGGCACCCTCGGGAAACACATCTGCCGCGGTGCCGGCCTCGGTGCCAGTGTCAGTGCCGGTGTCGGTGCCAGTGTCGGTGCTAGTGTCGGCGCCAGCCTCGGTGTTGGCGACATCGTCGTCCGCGCCAACAGCAGATCCGTCCCACGCGCAATCTTCCGGCTGGCCCCGTCGTTGTGCTAGGGGTGGAGCTGCAACGTAGATGTCTGGGCCTTTGACACTTTCAGGTTTTGGTAGGAACTCGTCGAGCGCCGACGGAAGAAGCGTGAGTACAGGAGGACACGATGGGCCTGCATACACTTGCGGATTCGGAGGAGCAGGAGGAGCTGGTGGCGCAGGAGGCGCTGGAGGAGCTGGTGGCAGAGGTGGCGCGGGAGGCTGCGGTGGCTCAGGGGGCTCTGGTGGACACGGCTATACCAGCCGTCCGCGCCAACTCGCCGCATCGGCCTAGGATTTTTCTTGAAAAGGAAGTGAGTGCCGGAAAATTCCGCCATGGCTTTTGCAGCTTGGTGGGCGAAACATGGAAAACTGATTGTGAACGGAGCAAGAATGGGAACAACAATGAGGTTCATAGGGGAACCCCTTCGGGCTAGCGGCTCGGGGTCCTTGTCAATAAAAGACGGGTACCCCCTTGCCTGAACGCGGAGAGGAGGGCTTGGGGCCCGTCACATGCAGCGCTGGCAGGGCATCTTCGTCCCCCTTCTAGAGGGATCAATCGATATGCTCCTGTCTGGCACTTGATCGGTTCCTGAACGGGCCACACGTCAGCTTCCGTGTCAGCGTTGGCAGATGCATTGCTTCGGGACAGCTTTTGTGCGGTGGTAAGCAGGGCTTCAGATTCGTTTTGGGCCACCCTTAGTAATCAGGGTTCTAGGTATAGTCAACCCTGACGTGTATGGTAATTGTTTTGTTTCCCTGACAAAAGCAGGGTAAAAAAAAAAGTTAGTCTGTTTGGCTAGGGTATATTTTACAACATAATAACAGAAAAACTTCAAAATGAAAATTTTCAGTACCTAGTCGCTCAGTTGGTTCGATTGCAAATGAAGACGGGAGAGATCGCAGGTTCGAGTCTCGCTGTTGGGAGTGTTTTGCAAGGGCCTTTGTAGTGTTACATCTCGCTACGGAGCATTCGGTAACAGTACAGCTAAGATTGTACAGTGCACAGTCAGGGAAATAAGTTCCTTACGCTGTTTTTCAAAGGGTACAAAAAAACTTACACTTTCTGGCCTAGGGTAAAAAATCCACTACCCTGCCTGTGAAAGGGTAACTGAAAAAAAGCGGCCGCCAGTCAGTGCAAAAAGGGTATTTTACCCTGATAACGAGAGGCCTGGTGGTAAATTGAGTTGCTGCTGCTGTTTACGCCAGGTTTTAACGCATGATCCCATGTAAACGGTACACGATCGTGATCGTCTTAGAAAGGGGTTTGATTTGGTGCCCCTAAAAGCAAATTTCATTTTCCCCTTTTTATACGCGCATGCGCCAGCCCCTCAGATTCACTTTGAGTGACGTAGATGGATCAGGGTCCCTCTGCGCGGAATCCCTGATTGACAGTGTCCCCTAGAAAAAAAGCCTGAAAAATCAGTGTCACTTAAAAAAAAACCCTGAGGCATCAGTGTTCCCTAACAAAAAAATCCACACGACTACCGTACCACACGACACACACGATTGACAACATGATTGACTAAACCACACGACTGACTGGCTGGTACACCAGGCATGAACGCGAGGAAACCCCCCACAAGTGGAAATCCTGGAGCAGAATATGGGAGCCTGGATGGCAGATCGCGGGAACCGCGGGATTCGCGGGAATCTGAGATTCCCTGTACTTCTGGGCAACGACACTCCGAACCAGGGGCTATTTTTCAAGGGTATTTTGCCCTGATTCCCCTTTCTGTGAGGCGTTTTTTTCATTGTACCCTGATTTTGTAAGGCCAGCCATATTGCAACCCTTCCCCAAAAAGTGTAGCAATCATATGACCCTTTGTATAGCAGGGTGCGTGTTTTTGTACCCGTACCAGTCAGGGTCAGGTCAAGATTACCCTTTTACCGAATTCTCGCACCTGTTTCACACGTAACTGTAGGAATCTGCCTTGCTGTACCAGGAACAAAGCATTCCGCCCACAGACAGTCAGTGCTGTCAAGCTGGGTGGTTTTGTTTTTTCTTACTGTCATTGCTATTCGTCCTCGCGGCAGCTTTGGCTGCCAGCACTTGTGTTTTCTCTTGACAACGCATTGCATCTGTGGTGGTTGCCCCGTCGTGTAGGGACGGAGCGCCCTGCACTTGGACGTGGATGGATGTATCTGTTGCCTGATGGTCATAGACGCTGTGTACGCTTAGAATGGTGAGGGGTTTCTTTTCTATTCTAGCAAAGCACTGAGCTATTCACTGACATTCATCCCATCCGGTTCGTATTTGTTCCTCACCTCTGTCTGGTGTTTCTCAGCACACTTAGGATGCCTCGCGACGAGGATGACGAAGACGCGCTATTAGGCCAGCTGAATGGCCTGAGTGTGCTCGGTATTGGTCGACGAGCTCCACCTGTTGATCAGCCGCCGCCTGTTACTTCTGAAATGGGCGGTTCATCGCCCGTACTTCCTGAACGAGTGGTTTACCCGTTTGAGCCTCCCTGTTCCCCCACCGCTTTCCAAGAGCATCCGACCGTTATCCTTGTACCAGGTGGCGGTGAAGGCTCTTCCAATCCATCTGTCTGCACACCACGAACCTCCCCCGATGAACCTGCCAAGAGGAAGCGGACGACATACACCCAGCAGCGCTTGTGGGGCGCTCCACCACCTCGGAAACCGGATGTTCCACGAAGCGCTCCACCACCACCATCCTCCCCAGCCGTGAAAACTTCGGACGCGGATGCAGAGTTTGCATTGATGAAGCACCGGTTCGACACCGACTGGTCGAAGCGGTTCTCGTGGCTGCGGCTTCACCGCATGAAAAACGGTAGGCCGTCTGTCAAATGCTCGGTCTGTGTGCTATTTGGGGATCCCAACGCTAACACGAGCTACGGAAGCCGAGGTGAGGGTGGTAGAGATTTGCAGCTTGGGAGCATGCGTGCACACATCGTCAGCACGGCTCACAAGGCGGCGCTGAAGGCAGAAAGCGAGGCTGAAGCTGCTAAGGCGCGGCAGGTGACTCTCTCTCGGTGGCAGGCAACGGATTCTTCGACACGGCATCTCATACGATGTCTCCACATCGCCCATTTCGTCTGCAAGAAAGATGCACCGATGGCGCTTTTCGTTCCACTCTGCTGGTTCCTCGCCAAGGAGGGCCTTCCCGATCTCCCTCCAAACGGAGGGTACGGATCGTACTACACAGAGTGAGTACAATTGTTGTTTTCGCGAAAACCTTTTCTTTTGATGCAATTGCACATGGACACTTTGGCCTAACACCTCCCTCGTGTGATGGCTTGCAGGTACGGATTCAAGCAACACCTCAGCGCCATCTCTACCCATCTGCTTGAGCGTCAACTTCAACACATCCAGGCTTCGCCGAGCCTCGGGATAAGCATTGACGAGAGCACCGATCGTGTCCACGGAAAGCACATGATCCTTTACGCCACATTCTTCAAAGAAACGGAGGTCGTCACTGAGTTTGTCACTCTCCTTTCTGTGGAACGCACTGACGCTGCGTCGCTTACCTCTGTGCTGTTGCAGTACTTGAGACAGGTCGGCATCGACCTGCAGAAGATCGTCGCGATCGCGACTGACGGCGCTTCCGTCATGGTCGGTTCACAGACTGGTGTTTGTGTCCGCCTGAGGACAGAGATTGAACATCTCGCGTCCACTCACTGCATCGCCCATCGGTGAGCGCCATTTCATTTTGCATCCACGATACTTCACATTGCGTCACTGTTTGTAGATCAATCCTAACATGATGCACCGCTCTATCGCAGGGAGGCTTTGGCAGCCAAGGAAGCAGCGCTTCAAGTGCCCGAGCTCAACATCGTCGACGACGTTGTCCGCGGAGTGGCGGACATCCTCAGCAGGAGTCACGTGAAGAATCAGCGCTTCATGCAGCTGCAGCTCATCTTCTGTCAGACGAACCTGGAGGTGCAGGGGATTCATGACGTCAGATGGCTCGAAGTGAAGTGTTGCCAGCCGCCATGCTCGCAGTGAAGGAGTACTCCGCCACTTTGTGGGAGGTGGTAACTTCCTTCAAATTCCAGTTTCTTCTTCGATTTCTCGCGGACGTCCTCACCGAGCTCAACCACTTGAACACAAGGTTCCAAGTGCGCCAGGTGAGAAATCTCCAAAACGCCTTGTGTCTGGCCTAATCCGTGGTGTCCGATGTGTGTGATTTGAATTTCTGGTATTAACATGTCCTCCTTCGGTTTCCATCTCTGCTCCCCAACCATAGGTGGACGTGACCCTGGTTGCGCACCTCGTGGTGCAAACTCGCATGCGCATCAGTCAGCGGTACATCAATGTGCCACAAGGCCATGTGTTCGGGCACGGAGACAAGATGCATCTACCGGACTTCTTGAAGAAGCACGGTCCAGTCGACAAGCGCAAGATGCGTGTAGATGGCGTGGATGCTGACGGGAACCCTGCTAAGGAAGAGTTCATCCTCCATGAGAGGAAGCTTCCTGGCGCCAAAACTGCTGGCGACTTGGAGGCTTGCTACGCCCTTGCTGTGCAGTTCGCGAGTGAGGTCAACAGTGAGCTGGCGTGGCGGATGGCGGACTTGCAGAACCTGGAAGGCACCAAGCTCTTCCTGTCCCAGACCTACCTGGCTGACGACGACAAGCGCATGGCAGCATTCAAAAAGTGGCTGAAGCAGCTGGCTGCACTCTTCCACGGGAAACTCCCTGGTTTGTTAACATTCAAACTGTTTCTGTGTGTTATGCTTTCCTAGAACTGCAGGGATGTGGTTGTTTTGGCGCCAGCGGTACGCCTAGTTAGCCCTGCATGAATCTTTCCTTATTTAACTTTTCTCTCCGCTGTCCCATACCATCTCATCCCTATGGATTGATGTTTTTGGATTGCCTGTGTGCATGTCCTGTAGGATTCGATCTCAACAAGGCAATGACGGAGCTATGGATCTTCACTTCAACGATGCATTCGCAGCACCACAATGAAGACTTCAACCAAGCGCTCTCCAACACCCTTCGTGATGAAGACACCTGGCGTCGTTCATTCCCCAACATCATGAGGCTGTGGCAGGCAGTGGCAGTTCTTCCTCTCAGCACTGTTGAGTGCGAGAGGGGATTCTCAAAGCAAAACCTCATTAAGACGTGGGGACGAGGCACCATTGGTGATGCAAGCCTTGGAGCCCTCATGCGCTGCTCTCTTTTGGACTACGAGGTGGACTGGTTTGATGTTGTCGCTGTTTTTCGGGGAGAGAAGAACAGGCGCCCCGTTAGGGACTTCTCGGGCGTGATTCCAGGAGAGCAGGAATTTGTAGACATTAGGTAGGGGGGGCACAGCCCCAGTTCGTAGAGTAGGGCATCTAGCTTGCTATGTAGTTAGTAATATATCAATATGTGTAGTTGTAGTTGTAGAACATTGTCATCTAATGGAAGGCACAGTATGGCCAAACATGAAATAGGGTAACTGGACAAACTTCCTTAAACCACCCTGTCACGAACAGTGTGCAAAAACTTTTACCCTTCTGTGGACAGGGTAGAGGAAACTTCACCCTAGCAGTCAGGGTGCTGTCGCCCTGGCACCCTGATCCTTAAGTGTGCTATGAAACCAAAAATAGCCCCTGCTCCGAACATGTAGGAAACGCATTCAGTGTCAGTTTCGGTACAACATAGTGGAATCAGTGTCCTTGAAAAAAAAAACCTGAAAGTTCAGAGTCATCTGGCAGGAAAAGGCTAAAAAATCAGTCCCACAAAAAGCTGAACACTGGAAAATCAGGGTAGGTACAAAAAAATCCCTGAAAATCAGGAATTTCAGGAAAAAAATCCTGATATCGTAGGGCCTGGCATGCGCTTATGCCCTACACTCAATTACAAGCAACCGCCCCCCCCCCCCCCCCCCCCCCCCCCAAAAAAAAAAATGTTTTTATTATAAGCGCATATGCGCTACTACCCAGAGTGATACGGTAGAAGTGTGTATGACAACCCTGAACCACAAAAAAAATTACAGCTACCATATAAATACGGCGTATCACCATAAACTGTAGATAAATGTGCACGCTTGCTATACACCCTGAACCAGGGCGGGAGATCATGCGGACGAGGGTCAGAGAAGGCATTTGGCATGTCAACGTGGCTTGAAGGAGGCACTGAGAGATTGCCCAAGGATGAACCACGTGGTAGTGAGCAATGCTCCTACGCTAGTGTGGATGAAGACTCTATCAAGTACAAACCCGTACACGGATATTCCCACTGCCGAGCTGGACAGGAAGTTGACTGTGGGAAGCAGAGGGGGCGATGAGGGACAGCAGAAGGATTCGATGCCGACTGAAGGGAGAGAAAGGAGGGTCAGCGGCAGAGCATACAAAGCAGATGGCATGACAAATGGGATGCGTGGGATGATGGCGGGGCATCGAGCAAGGCAGCGCAAGGGACTCCCCACAGAACATGGTGCCAGCAGGGGTTGCACACAAGATGTGGCAGTGAGGAGTGAGATACAGAAAGTGGAAGCATGTGAACATTTGGGGTTGGGGAAGCATTGGAAGGAGGCAGTGGGGGATACCAAGAGCAGCGCGCTGTGCCCATGCCTCCTGTCTCTGCAGCAGCTCCAGTGTCAGCGCCATCTCTCCATCCTTCCCTCCCAATTGCCCCCCCTCCATCCCATGTACACGCCCCTCTCCTGCTGCTGCTGCGCCATGACTTGCGACCACTGCAGGGTCCTGGGCAGGCCATGGTGCTGTTGCTGCGTGGTGCACACGTGGTGCACGTAACAGGGGTTCAGTGAGCCCCTTGGATGAAGAAGGATGCAAGCCATGTTGGCGAGTAGTGGAGGGGCACGTATGTGCAGTGCTGCTGCAGCTGTCAGTTGTGATCCTGCGACCGGAAATTGTGTCACTGTTGCTGTTGTTGCTGCTGGTGCTGCTGTGGGCAAGTGAGTTGCTGTGCGGGCGCTGTACGGGAGACCCAGAGTATACTTGGTCCACCTGGTCAGCACAAGGAGCGGTCGTGAGGTTGAACGAGGGGTGGGAGGCAGGCAAGGAAGGTTGGGAGCACGGCACGCTGGAGGGTGGAGAGCTGTGGCGAGGGGGGATTGATATGGGAGCGACGGCCGAGAGAGAAGGGGCTGTACGCTGCAGGAAAGCAGGAGGCGCGCGAGCGAATGGCGGTGGAAATGCAGAAGGGAAGGAGAGGGATGGGGTGGGGGGGAGGAGAGGCGCGGAGTCGAAGGTGTGCTGCGCGTGCATGGCGGAGGCGACTCGCACGATGCGGCGGTGCAGGTGGGCGAGCTTGGATGCACAGCGCAGACACATGCCCGTGCCCACCAGCGCCACCACGTTCGCCACCTGCCAGGCATGCACACCCACACACACAGATGACGCAGTGAGACTCACAACGAGGCAGTGAGACTCACAACGAGGCAGTGAGACTCGCAACGAGGCAGTGAGACTCGCAACGAGGCAGTGAGACTCGCAACAAGGCAGTGAGACTCGCAACGAGGCAGTGAGACTCGCAACGAGGCAGTGAGACTCGCAACGAGGCAGTGAGACTCGCAACGAGGCAGTGAGACTCGCAACGAGGCAGTGAGACTCGCAACGAGGCAGTGAGACTCACAACGAGGTGGCCGGAGTTGAGGAAGGAGAGCGGCGTGGGCCCGTCGCGGTAGAGCACCATGTGGAACATGGACGCCAGCGCGCCCAGCAGCGTGATGGAGAAGGTCAGCAGCAGGAAGAGGCGGAAGCGCCGGCTGATGCCCGCCAGCCCCGCAGAGATGCGCGTGTACTCGAAGAAGCACAAGGCGGGGTCCAAGCACCGCTGCACCACCTCCCTGTACCCCTGCATCTTCAGCTCCTGGGGGGTGGCGGATTGGCAGGCGTTGGCAGAGCATGCGTTGAGTAGGACACAGGGCGCACGAGAAGAGGACAAGGGCGGGCGTGCATGCGGCACAGCCGCTCCCATGCAATGAATCCCCGCATCAAAGTTGAACGTGGTGTGGCAAGGAAGAACGCCACGAGAAGATGAGCATGGGGGCAGGGGGCTTGGGGTGAGGGGGGGCGTACCTGCAGGGAGCAGGCCTTGGAGAAGAGCACGCAGGTGAAGAGGAAGGTGGAGGCGGCGAAGAGCCAGGAGAGCGAGCCCAGCACGAACAGCAGCGCCAGCTGCACCACGTGGTAGCGCGCCGGCAGCAGGTGTGGGTCGGTGCGCAGGGGGATGCAGGCGAAGAGCAGCGCCTTGTGCAGCAGGTGCAGCAGGAAGAGCGGCATGAGCAGCCACAGCAGCATTGCTCGGTTTTGCTGCCCGCGCACGTGTTGGGGAGAGGGGTGGGGGGAAGGGAGGGGAGAAAACGGGGGGGTAGAGTAAGGAGACAAGATGGAACAGTGATAGATTATCGGGGCTGGGCTAGCGAGTGGCGACAGAGAGAGAAAGAGAAGGCTGAGGATGAAGAGAGTGGCCTGCCACCTCACTGCGCTTAAAAAACCTTGAACGTTCCAGCGCCTGCCATGACCCGCCAACCACCCACGCTCGCGCCCATCACCTGCATCTCCCACCACCCGTGCCAGGCACACTGCCCCATGCCCCCATGTGGCGCTGTGCGCGCAGTGGCGGTGCGCACCTGCAGTGCGTGCAGGTACTGCGCCTGCAGCGCCTCGTCCTCCTGCGCCGCTGAGTCCAGGAAGAGTACCGCGTGCAGCCCGTGCGTGCGCAGCGCCGCCCGCAGGAACAGAAACGCCACGGCGCCCAGCGAGTTGTGCAGCAGCAGCACGAGCAGCTGGAAGGGCAGCTGCTCCATGCGGGCACGCACGGTAGGCGGATGCGAGGGAGAGAGAGGAGAGGGCGAGAGCAAGAGAAGCGCAAGTCAGCGAGTTGGAGAGGGTGGGCGTCATGTGGAAAATAAGAGGGAGAGGGTGTGGTGGGAGGTGCGTAGAGGTTGTTGTGTGGGTCACCTTGGGATGGTTCGTTAGTTGCACCCCTACCTCGCTCCTTGGTATTCCGCCTCGCTCTATGGAGGAAAGGAAGGGAGCATTCTTGAGAGAGCGAGCAATGAAGGAGACCTGTTTCGCGTGCACACAAGCGCTACAGTGGAGCAATGCGCTGGCCTCCAACCGTCTGTCCCTGCCCTGCCACGCCCTGTGAGCAGGAGCACCGAGCAAGACTTGCGAGAGGAATGAGAAGCGGCAGCGCAGTACACGTGGCGTGCACCTGGTGTTGGGGGAGGTCGTCGGCAGGCTGCACGTACGCGTACAGGCAGCACGGCACCACCACCAGCAGCGCCACGCCAGTGCCCCACGTGAGCAGGGCCCAGCGGTGCGAGGAGGTGTCGAGGCCCAGGAAGCGCAGCGTGGAGCGGAAGCGCCTCACCTGCGCCTCGTGCAGCACCGCCGACGCACTCGCCTGCACCTGCTGGGCCGACGACCTGCAGGGGGGAAGGGCGTGCGCAGGGGTTTAGGGAGATGCTTTGGGGGGTGCTTTCGGGGTTTCATTCATGCATGGTGAATGGGAGGAGGAGACGGAGGGATGTGTGGAGTTGATGTTGGTGGTGCAGGTATGGCGGGCAGCAGGACGCATATGGCAGCAGAAGTGGTGCCGTCCTTGCTGTGCGCGCTGCCCCTCCATGGCGCCACCGCGCCCTTCACGCAGGGAACGCCTTGCCTCGCAGGTCACCTGCCTCTCTCGCACGTGTCAGTGCGCGCTCTACCTTCTGTGTCGATACGCGGCGTATCGGGGCGAGTGGCACAGCAGCGAGTACTCGTGCTCCTCCGCACTTGCATCGGCACGGAACCCCACATTCACCCACGCGCGCCTCTCCACCTCGCCTCCCCAACCACCTCCTCCGCACATCTCTTTTTCCACCCACCACACATTCCCGCTCGACTTCTCACTCACTCTCTCGCCCTCTCTCTCCTCCGCACTCCCCCGCGCGCTCCCCCCGTGCGCGCACCCCCCTTGTGCGGCCCACAGTGCATCGTGCTCCACGGGCCACACGCCGTCGCCTGTCACCCCTTCCACAAACTGCCACGCGCCCCTGCCACCACCACGGCGCTCGCCGCTACCCACGTCCACCGTGCTGTCCGCGAAAGGCCCTGCGCCCATTCCGCCACGCCCTCCCGCGCCCGCATGCTCGCTCGCGTCTCCACGCGTGCCGTCCTCCCTCGTGCCGCCCGCAGCATCAGTGTTCGCGCCACCAGCGCCTCTCGCCCCCCCGGCCCCACTGCCACGCGCCCCACATGGAACGGCGCCTTGGGCGTCGTGCGTGGCGTGAGAGCCGTCGCCGTGGGCGCCATGTGCCGTCGCAGTAGCGCTGGCGCCGTCGTCACCTCGCCAGTGGCCCGCGTGCACACTGCTGCTCTCCGTGCTGCCGCACCCACTGCGCCTACTCCCTGCCTCCACTGCGTCCCCGAGGCACCATCGCCCAAAACTCAGATTCGCCGCGTCGCCTGCGCGGATATGCGAGCCGTCGTTTTGACCGTCGATTTTGAATCCACCGGCGCGGCGATCGAGATCGGCGCCTCCGCCATTAGAGGCGGTCTTTTCGGCGGATTCTCCTGCTGCCATCGCGGTGCGGGTCAGGGAGGATGGGGGAACCGGGGGGAGGGCGGCGGTTGAGGAGGATGGGACGCGGATAGGCCGCAGGGAGCGGGGTATGGCGGCCGTAGCAAGAGGCACGTTGCTTCTGGCATCGCCAGCATAGCGCTTGTTGCCGTCACCACTACTGCCGTCGTTGCCGGCAGGCAGGCCCGCAGCAGAGCTGGGTGATGCACGCGCGCCGCCTACGGGCCGTGTAGGCGGCAGGTTGACGGCAGAGACTCGCGAATCCACCTCGCGCGACCCCATTTTGCACCAAGTGCTTAGACCTGGCGATTGAGGCGCAAGCGGAAAGTGCTCCTCTGGGCTGTAACGAGCCGACTTGCACGACAACTGAAATAAAACACTATTGAATGCTGGGCGATATCCCCCTGCCAGCATGGCATCAGATTGAAGTCCTTCACGTCCTGAACTGGGCCGCTGCGAGATGTGCTCAGGGCTTGTTGGCGAAACCTGTCGAGGGGCCAAAATCGCCAATCGGTGGTGGCGAACAGGAACCAGGTCGCGTACTCGCAAACAGGTGCGACGAAAATCGCATACCGTCATTGCGCTATGGAGAAAACAAGAGGACCTTCAGCAGCATATGAGGTAGACCTTCCGATTTTCATTTTGTATGAAATACAAATGTGGGAAAAAAGAGATGTGCCGTGCGTAATTACCGGGATAAGCCACCTTCCATAACAGAAGACCCCCAGGTAGCTTATGCGGGGGTGGGCCGCTACGTTGTGGATAAGCCACCCGCCAAAAATCGAACCCACTCTTGGCAAAATAATTTGTTGAGATCAATGTACAATTTTTGTACATTCATAGCGATCAAACACCCCCCCCAATTTAGATGCTAACGCAGCTTTTAAAAAGCTGTGGGACCAACCGTTTTGTCCCTCAGACTGGTGAGAACGACATGGGGGCACGGGAGGGAAAAACGTTCATGCGAGGTGCATAGGGGTATAAAGGGCATGGAGGGAAAGGGGGGAGAGATGGAAGGGAGGAGGGAGGAAGAGGTGGGCGGGATGTGATGAGGGGAGGTTGAGAAGGGAATGGTTAGTCCGAAGGGAGCGCCACGCAGATGGAGCAGCGATGGATGGGAGATTCTATACATAGCAGTGGCGGGGTTTGCCTATTATAACAAGGTGGGGAGTGGGGACACAGTGGTGAAGACAATTTCAGGTTCCATAGCTTATGAGCACAGACACTCAACAGCTGCCCAACTGTCTGCAATTCACTTATTTCTGACCTAGTAGCCCCAACCCATGCGGGCCTGTAGTGATGTTTCACTCATGAGGCCACTGGGAAGAGTTAAGTTTTTCCCAAACCGCTTTTTCGTGGGGAGCCTTAAGATCACAGTGCACTTGGGTTCTGCAGCTCCCCTCTCTCTCTCCTCGTCCTCACTCTGCTCCTCCCCAATCACCCACGGATCGTGTAAGATGTCATCCAGCGTTGGCCGTTTTGTCACGTCATCGTCCATCAAGCGTTGGATCAACTCCCTCGCCTGCTCTGACACCCCATCCAGCCCCAACCCACCGCGCCTCGACTCCTGCTCCGGCCACCTCGACACGTGGCCCGAGAGCATGGCGCGCAGCACCAGCCCCAGGCCCCACACGTCGTGATGCCGTGCCCCGCCGTGCGCCAATAGTGCAGCAGCCACGGCGCGCGCTGTTTCGTGCTGTGTGGCAGCGCCAAGACCCGACAGCTTGGCGACAGGAGAGCTCCAGCACCTGCTGCTACTTCTTCCACCTTTGCAGCTGCTACTGTCGCTCTCAGCTCTGCTGGCCCCACGCAAACTGCCGCTGGAGTTGCTCGGACTATCCCTGCGGGAATTCAAGCTTGTCCGAGTGCAGGTGGAGCCATTGTCACTGGCGGAGGCGAGGCACGGCATCCCCGGGCTTGGCGTAGTCACGCACGTGGACGCCTTGGCCAGGCGTCGGCTGAGCAGCGGCCCGATAGGCACACCTGGGGGTGCGATGAAGGGCGACGTGGGAGACGACGGCACGGAGCAGCTACTGCGGTGAAGTATAGCGGAGGGGGATTTCCTCAGCAACACGTGGTTGGGGGCGACGCTGCCGTGAATCACGCCGTGCTCGTGGCACTGCTTCACGGCCAGGACGACGGAGAGGAACACTTCCCGTGCGGCGTCTTCCAACATCGGCCCCTTGCGGTGTATATGCGACGCGAGGTCGCCCGCGGCACAGAGCTCCATGACGATGAAGAGGGACTTGTTGTCGCCGTATGCTTCCTCTATCTGAACCACGTTGCTAGCCACGCCCCGCAGGGACAGCAGCACCTTTAGGTCGTTAGTAGCCCGTTTCATGTGCTTGCTGTCGCCGTGCATAGACGAGAGGTCGTAATGCTTGCACGCGTACGTGCGCCGGGTAACCCGATCGCGACATCGCCAAACCGTCGCTCGATGACCTTCGCAAAGAATCTTCTCAAGCTCGAAGTTCTCCCAAAAACACTCTAGCGGCAGCACACGTCTGACATGCCCAAAAGGCATCAGCGGTAGTGAGTGCAACGATGTTTGTGTAGTAAACAAGCGTACGATGCAAGTCCAAGGTCGCCGGAGTCTGAAACGCAGGAGCTAGCAAGAAACACTGGCACGAAACTCCAATCGCTTCATTTCCCATCGTTGCGGTGCTGTGGGTGTTGCTGTTGTGGATGGATGCCATACTGTACTAGCAAAGTAGGGTTGTTGCTCTCGAAGGCGCGTTCACAAAACTCAAAGACCTCGGACTCATTCAGGTTCCTGGTCTCACATCTCCTGCCCAATCACGGTCCCCAACTGCTCGTTTTTTTTCCGGACCACGAAATCTTCGGGTCAGGTTTTGGGGACTCGACCCGAACGCTCCTCAGCAGCACGTCCTTGTAATTTCGCAACCGGGGTGTTCGGTCATCGGACCTACAAAGCCTGAGCGGAAGAGAATTCCGAAACGGGTCAAAACATTTTAAGGTACGCGGATCAACTTAAAGCCGGCAGCCCAAATTGCACAAGTTTTAAAAAGATGACGAGAGGGGGTTTTACAGTTTTGGGTTTTGGCGAGTGTTTCTGATTTCGTCAAATTCGTTTTTTTCGCCAGACCCAACGAGCCCCTCGATTTCTCTCTGGTTGATGTGTCTGACTTCGGGAAGTCCCAAATTGCACCTGCGCTACCTTTCAAAGCTTGAACAGGCCACTTCGTCAAGTTTTAAAAACTTGACCCGCGCGGTCCGCAATTTGGGCCGCGGGCTTTAATTTCAGTTTCACAAGTTGCACAGCGCTGTCCCCACATAGTTCTGGGGGTGAACCCGAAGCTTTCTCGGAAAGGTCTTTCACAAGTGATCGTGAAGTGCACTTCTTCAGGGGCACTGCCAAATCGTCTGCCGAATGGAGACGTGTTGTACACATCTGGGAGTCATGTCACGCTTCTTGCGGGGCAGCCATCGCTATACTTTCGCCAACATTATGGGCAAAATAGTGGTCACGTCACCGATTCAACAAACCTAAACGGAGATCCATCCGATGTGATCTTCAGACCGTGTCGCTAATACTCGCTTAAAATATGCTACAGATACAGCAAAGTTGATTGTCCATATTATCCATTTCCTAAGGCCATATACACATTCATAATATTGTCAGTTTGCAAAATGTGCATTGATTAATTCTCTCTTTCTCTCTCTCTCTCTCTCTCTCTCTCTCTCTCTCTCTCTCTCTCTCTCTCTCTCTCTCTCACTCTCTCACTCACTCACTCACTCACTCACTCCCTCTATTTTCCTCTCTCACTAGGAATGAATTCAAATTATTGCGGGAGATCGAGCTCTTCATATAAAAAGTATCGGTGCCCTATCGATGTGCAACGCATGTGTCAACATATATTTTTGCATACATTGTAATCTACGTTGGGAGCGGTTCGGAGCAGTACACCAGATTGGGACACATCGATTGGGACGCATGTCCACAGCGGAATGTACCCTAAATCTCATGATTAGGTTAGGTAGATTTCGCATCACCTACTACTGCGATAAAAAAGTAGATCGTACCTAGGATCATCTCTGGAAGGTTCGCAGAATCAAAGTGTTGCAGCGGAAGATGGTGACCTCAGATCAGACTGAGATGATTAAAACATGCAATTTATGATGTTTATATATGTGTCAAATATTATAGCCTGTAGTGGGTTGGGCTATATGGGGTACAACTAGTTAGGGTTAGGTTATGTACCCCAATTCTGTCAATGCAACACATTCCGCTGTAGTTCTCATTCTGACATGGTATCAGCAGTAGGTTAGCGCTCCTAGCCCTAGGCCCGCCCGTCCCTACCACTAGGGTTACCACTGCGCCCCGCCAGCCCGCCAGCGCCCTACCCCACGCCCCAGCCGGCGCGCCCCTGTCAACGGGAGTTGGGTGTTGGCCCCGTCCTCGCTTGGGCGGAGCCGACTTCGTGGTCGGATGTAGGGGTGCAGCCGACCTGCAGCAGTGGGCGGGCTGGTCGACGAGGTTGGTCGACCTGCACGGGAGCCATTGCATGGGCGCCGACTTCGGGAGGGCGCCAACTTCGGGTGGTCGACCCGGGACGTCGACCAGCCCTTCTGGTCGACTTGGGAAGTCGACCAGACCTTCTGGTCGACCTGGTAAGTCGACCAGCCGTTCTGGTCGACCAGGAGTGACGTCGACTTGGAGCTGGTCGACCAGGGGATAGTGGTCGACCTGGGGAGGTCGACTGGAGGTGGCCGTCGACTTGGGAGGTCGACCGACACGTACCAGAGGGAGTGGTCGACCTGGGAGGTCGACCGGAAGTGGTCGTCGACCTGGGTGGTCGACGGGCACGCACTGGAGCCTCTGGTCGACCTGGTTGCCCGGTCGACCAGGTTACCTGGGTGACGAGGTGCTGCGAAGGCTTGCGAAGGTCGCCCAGGTGGTTTTGGCGAGGACGACCTCGGTGATGGTATCCCGAGGTCGACGTGGTGCATCAGATGCAGTCGTCAGCACGAGGTGGACTTGGTGTGTGCGCTGTGCAGGTGACGAAGCAGTGCACGCCAATCATCTACGAGCACCTGCGAAGCGGGTGCGATGCTGGACTGCAGGAGCAACGCTGGCACGCCGTCGACTTGCGCTGTTGTCACGCCGTCGACCTGCAGCGTTGGCAAGCCGCGTCTCTGCACTGCTAGAGCGCGGTCGACCAAGTCGTGCTGGCACGCAGTCGACCGTGCTGCGCTGGCAGTCGACCTGCTTGCACCCTAGCTCTGATGTAGTCTTGTCTTGCCAACTTCTTTGTATCATTGTTGTCAACTTTCTCTAGTGAAACTCTTGCCAAATTGCCTTGTGAACTAGCAAGTAGTGTGTGCACTAGGAAAACGACTAAGGAACGCAGAGATCACACGAGCACCCGTGCCTAGCCCGCAGCCTAGCTCCCGTTACTAGAGTTATCTCCGCATGGTGCGGTGAGCGTGGACGGCACAACGACTTACCTTTCAGTCTAGTCGACTTAGTAGGCACCTTACCTAAGTTGTTCGTAGGCCGGCAGCTGTGCGATAGTCACTATGGTAGGAGCCGTAGGTGACACGGGGGTGGTGGACACCCTGGAGGCACGGCTGGAAAACGCGAGGAGGAAGCACGAGGCCAACGAGTATGGCGACCTGCCGTGGGCGGTCGTCGAGGCTGGCATCCGTTCCTTGTGGGCGACGGAGCACCCCTCTCGGCCTGCTTCTCCTCGACCGGTGAACACCGAGGGCGACGTCGACGTGGGTGTCAACGCCGGAGGCGACCAAGTCGGCAGCAGTGCGGGAGGCATGTCGTCGAGGCAGCGTGGTGTGATTCACGCCGACGAAGTCGGCGGCGTTCAGACGCGAGGAATGCGGTCGTCGGCGGCTGCAGGGTCCTCGCAGGGCGACGTCGGAGGTCGACGGAGTGGGTCCGTGCCGATGTCGGCAACCCAGGTGACAGCAGGCGGGATTGCACCGAGCTACGGCTACTTCAAGTTTACGCCGGATAGGATCTCGGTGACTCCCCTACTGGTCGGCCGACCCGACATTCTCACCTGGAAGGAAGCTATTGAGCCCCAGCTGGAGATGGCCGGGCTCATCAACTTTGCTCGTGGTACCGTGGCGACGCCGAGCGACCCCGACTTGCGTGCGGAGTTTCGCGCCGTGCAGCTGCTGACCTTCACGGTCATCTCGCGGTGCTGCTCGCCGGGCGTGCAAATCGCCCTGAAGTCGTGCAGGGAGCATGTCGACGCCGGCCACCGGGCGTGGCACTTGGCACTTCATCGAGTCGACCTACCAAGTCACCGACGACTTGTTCATCGCCCAACTGGAGGGGCAGCTGACACACCTGCGTATGGGCGACCAGGAGACGGCGACCGACTACTGCAACCGGGCCAGGCGAATTCTCGCCACCATCAGGATGGCCGGTGCGGAGTACTCGACGGCGTCGTACATCACCCATGTCATGCAGGGGCTCCGGAGCAGCTACAACTTGCTGAAGCGGCTGTCCATGGCGCCGAGCACAAGGGCGACGCTCAACGAGGACAACTTGACCTCGTACATCCTGCAGGACGAGGCAATGCAGGAGGCTGAGCGGTCCCAGGAGCTCTTGGCGCAGGCAAACTTTGTCGCCCCAGCGAAGCAAGGCGGTCGACCGGGGCAGCGTGGACAGTCGGGCGGCGGTGGTAGCGGTGGCTCGAAGTCGGCCAAGGAGGTCGACAAGAAGAAGTCGACCAAGGACAACGGCCGAGGAGGAGGAAGTCGACGTCGGGAGTGCTGGCTGTGCGGCGACCCCGACCACCTCTCCTTCGAGTGCCCCGACCGCAGTGACTCGGACGACGACGACAAGGGAGGCCGCGGGAGGTCTGGCAGTCGTCGACCTCGTCGAGGAGGAAGTCAGCCGCGCAAGGAGAAGCAGTCGACCAAGTCGTCGACCTCGGCGAAGGACGCCGACTCCTCTGCTGGCGGAAAGGGGAGCAACGACAAGTCGGCGTCGTGCTCCCTGGTCGGCGTCGTGGAGCCGACCGTCTCACTGGCGCCGGAGGCCGGTGAGGATTTCCAGGCGATGGCAGCAGCAGTGCAAGCGAACCCGGCGGTGGTCTTGCTGGACAGCGGCTGCTCCCACCACCTGATGGGGGCCAAGGACGCCTTCGTCGACCTGGGGCCGAGCGGCGACGTGAAGCACGTGCGTGGCTTCAATGGGGCGCTGCAAGACGTCCAGGGCCGGGGCACGGTTGCCCTGCAAGGCGAGGCCGGAAAGCAGGTTCTCATCCCCGACGTGCTGTACGTCCCGGGTGTGCGGGCGAACCTGTTGTCGTCTGGCCAGTTGAAGGAGCACGGCGTGAAGTTTCAGGAGGACGGCGACGGGATGCTGCTCGTTTCGGCAGCAGGAGAGGTGCTTGGTCGGGCGACGTACTCCGGGCGAGTCCTTTGCACCGACCTGCGTCCCTGCTCAACGAGGTCGACGTCGCCCATGCCGGATGTCGTGGCCCTGCGGGCCATCGCCTCCAAGACGAAGTCGACGCCGGACAGGATGCATGC